GAGCAGCAGCTGCCGCGGGTCGGTGTCGTCCACCTGCGGGGCGAGAGGCGGCGTGAGCGCGGCCCCGGGCCCGTCCCGCGCGCCCCGCTCATCTCCCCCATCTCTGCGCTCCCGCTCGAGCAGCCCCAGCAGCTTTTGGAGAGCCAGCCCCTCGCCATGCTAGGGAGGACGGGGAACGGGAACAGCAGTGCCCAGGGCCGAGGCGCCGAGTTGGGGCAGCGCCATCCGGCGCACAGCGCCCAGTGTCCAGCCTGGTGTCCCCTGTGAGACTGATCCCCCGCCAGCCGCCCTGTGTCTCGTCCCCGTGCCTCTCACTTAGCYGTCGCCCCACATGCTGAGACCCAGTTCTGTTTGTCCCCGGGCCACTCAATAGGGCTGGCTGCCTTTGCCGCCTTTGCRTGCACAGCTGCTGGCCCAGCTCTTTGAGACGGGTGTTTCTGCCCCCCATTCTTACATTTCGCTCCTGGTTTGTGAGCTCAAATGCAGCCACAGGGAACAAAGGCACCCGGCTCCGTATTTCAATACAGTCCAGCTCAAGCTCTATTGAAATACTCCAATATTCTAATGGGAATATTGTATTCTGGAGGGGCACATGTTAACCCAAAGGTAGAATTGCCATGAAGGAGAGCGGCATAAAAAATGCAAACAAGTAGTGGCAAATGGGTGTTGGGATCCAGGTGGGTAACACACGCTCACAGGAGCCATCCTGACCCATAGAGGGGTTTGCAGCAAGTTCAGCAAGGAACTTTTCCCTGTGCCAGGACTGCTGCCCCCGGCCACGTTTCCATATGTAATACAAAAGCCACAACAGCATGAGGAGGAATACGGCAAATTGGTCCCACAGAGAGAGCTGGGGGTATCCAGAATCAGGCTGTGACTGTGCTTCAGATCAGAAAAAAACTCACGCTTGGGGAAGTGAGTTCCTAAAACTTTAGGGGTTCCTAAAATCCTTAGGAACCTGCTGCAGTCGGTTATCACAGAATCACAGAATGGTTGAGGTTGGAAGGGACCTCTAGAGGTCATCTAGTCCAACCCCTCTGCTCCAGCAGGGACACCCAGAGCACRGGGCACAGGGCGGCATCCAGGTGGGTTTGGAAGATCTCCAGAGAAGGAGACTCCACARCCTCCCTGGGCAGCCTGTGCCAGGGGTCTGTCACCCTCAAAGTGAAGAAGCTATGAGGCATTAAAAAAGTGATGACTGAATACATAAGCTGACAGGCTTTGCTCGGGAGTTGCACTGGACTGCATGTATAGAATGCAAAAATGCTGTGTAAGGAAAAGTGACTGAACTACAAATTCTGCTGGCAAATATAAAGATCTGCAAAAATAGCAAAACTGATGAAACACATGCTGAAATAGAAACCATCTGCTGAACTCGGTGAAATCCCTCTGTTGGGGCTCAAATATGTTCATGTTTCCCCGAGATAACGGCGGAACCGAAATGTAAAGCTTTAGGGGAAAGATGGGGAAAGAAACCAAAGTGAACAACACTAACATATTACCCCAATAATGCGATGCCCTCTGCAGCAGTTTCTCTTACCTTGCTCGACATGAGGATTTGCCGCACGTCCTTCTTCAGATCAATAAACCGATCGTGATAGATGGCCAGGCACCAAGGCTCCCTGAAGTAGCTGGTTAAAAAACAAGAAATTTAGTTATCTTGTGAACCTCTCATTAACCACTAATAAAGTATTTACCTGCTTTTTTTGCCTTTATAAATTACAGTTCTGGACCCATCACGATCGTTTGTTCATAAAATGCCTCCCGTAACAGCATGGTCAATCAATTCTTTTAATGGATGTTCCTGATGTACAGCCAGCTCCAGTAATTACATTTAAAGTGGCTTAATTCAGAGCTGTGGCAAGACCCAGTGAAGAATCCTGATTTTATCAGAATTTAAAAGCCTGAAGACCTGCAAAGAACGGTGTCTCCATTATCTGTCCTCATTTGAGGAAAGCAGATTGCAGGATTAACTGAACTGCTGCATAAACAAATTAAATTTGTGTAGACAATGACACAAATGTTGTTCATCATTAAGGTTTCTGGATTAATAATGGCCAGAAAAACAGGCCACCCCYGTGCTGCAATATGTCCTTGGCCCCGCGCTGACGCCAAACGAGCTGTCTTCGTGGGAAGCTCTCCCAAACTTTCCGCTTTCTTTCTGAGAGCGGAGCCGGGACYGAGCACCGGATCACGGTGCTTTCGGCCTGGCTGAGCGCAGCGGGGCCGCTGTGTATCCGGGGCAGGATACGGAGTGGCGCTCTGCGTGTTCCCAGGATGGATAACGCCTGTTGTTGGGATGCCCAGAAATGCTGGGAAGGCTGAGCTCATCCGAGTGGCGTTACTGAAGTACTTACCAGCTATGGGAGGAACTGAGCGCTAGGAAAGGGCATTCCCCAAATACTTACATTTCAGGTTAAAAAAAAAAAAAAAAAAAAAAACCCAGCCTCTCAACCCAAACCTTTAACTTTGTGGTGGTGCTGGGTACCGAAGCAGGAAAGCGTGTGGGGGGAGGCAATTACATCCCAGGAAACACCAGTTAAACCCCTTGCGCTTCTACTGTCGCACCCTGCTAGTAAGCATCTTCCCCCAGCCAAACATCCTGCCTTTCCRAGCTGGCACCGTAGTTTTTATTCTGATTCGGGGAGCGATTTGGCCTCTGGTTCCAGGCAGCACTTTTAGCTGCGCTGCCTGCGGCAGCTTTTCACCCCCTCCCTGCGCTGCTGTGAGCACTGAGCGCTGCTCCTGCTCCGGGGAGGCTCCTGCTGTCGCGACCAGTGCGGCCGGGAGCTGTTGCTGTCAGTGTCCCCAGCTTTGGAGCTTAAAGCCTAATATTTGTCACCAGTTTGCGATATTAGATGGGGTCTGCCCTGCCAGCAGACCCTTCTCTGTGCACAAGYGGTGTTTGGGATGAAGCGGCCCCCTCTGGATGGAGGGCAGTTGCCGACACAGCTCTGTTGCTAGGAGGCTGTTCTCACCTTTCAGGGACAAACACTATTGAAAGTCTGTTCTGCCTCGCTTCCCAGGCGCAGCCTATGCTGCATGAAAGGGGAGAAGGAGGAAAACATTTCCTGGCATCCTGTACAAAAGAAATTGTGTCTTTTCCTTTTCGAGTCACATCACTAAATCCACCAGGGTGAAGCTGGCTGCGGTGAGCAAACAAAACCAGAACGTGCCAGCAGGCGACTTGCAACCTCTCATTTTTCTGCAGAGAATTTCCCTGCGTGTGGCGCAGCTCTGTCCTCCGCGCTTTGCAGAGCAGAGCAGTGTTGCCCGCGTGAGGGCTCGTCCTGGAGCTGTGGCGCAAGGAGCTGCCACCGAGGTGCCCACGGCTCCGTTCCTGTCACGCTTGCAAGGGGCTCTGCCGGAGAGGAGATGAACTGAGACCCTTCTGGGCGGCGCATGCAGCTAYTATGGCAAAAACAAGAGGCTGGGAATAAAGTTAAAAAAAAAAAAATAGAAGGAGAAAGCGGGAAAGCCCTGCAGCAACAAAGTGATGGGAAGATGATGCCCAGCTCTGCAGACAGATTTCATCCATTCTGGCAGACACGATTCTTGAGCCATTTGCGAACTTGGTGTAACTGTAATACTAATAGAGAACAGTTTTACTGCCCCGCTGTCRTGTCTTCCAAAATTCTGCAGTTTGGGTTTGCCTTCGTGAGAAGGAAACAAGACGGATTCTGAATGATTTCCATTCACATCCTATCGTATCAATTTATATCATACGTGCTTTAAGAAGAAAACGGTTGCTATTAAAAAAATGCCACGAACCAAAACAGCAGGACAAACCGAGGTGAAATGGAAGCCACTGTCTTGCTGGTGAGATGTACTTGCAGTTGCTGAACAGTGAGGCAAATGCTGAATAACTGGGATGGTTGTAGCAGGAGAGATGCTTCACTCCTTCCTTGTGAATTGTGCACTGACTACCTGTAGGTCCGTGCATTTTAAGCACCTCTGTCAAACTCATCTGGGGCTGTGACTGCTCTGACCTAAAGCTTAGTGAAAGCAGCGGAGGTTAATGCGCACAGAATCTGGCTCTGTGATTTAACTTATCGGGCAGATTTGCAAAATAATGATATGCTACCCTAATTTAGAGGCTGGCATTTCTCTCGCGCTTTTGCAACAGAGATGAATAAACCACAGAGCTTATTTATTACTTTTAACAGGACTATGACCAAACCAGCAAGGTCTTTTATTCAGAAAAACAACTGATCTCAAGCATGGGGCATGTGAAGCCCTCCTGTGTGCAGCTGCAGTGGCAGAATGGAGCTCAGCATCCTGCAGCTGCTGAAGGCTGGTTATCCCTCTTGAGCAACAAGTCATTAGTATTCTGTATTTTTAATTTTAAATGTAACATTTCCAGGTCATAAAGCTCCATGAACTATGGGCCTCACTAGAAAATAAATTTAAGCAGCACTTGCTTCACGTTGAACTATTGCAGTTCTTTCCTATCCTAGGTATCCCAGAGAGAGGCTCTTGGGTGTTTCCACACTGGCGTTCCATAAAGTTTATGTGTTTCACTAAGCAGTAGCCATCCTTGGTAGCCAGCTGATCCTTGCCAAACTTAAACTTCCTCTGCCGTCTTTGAAGTGGGGATAAAATTTTTGCTGCCTGCCGTTTGTACATGAAAATTGTATATGACCCCGAAGCAAAGTTTTTTGCATTTTTCACGTGATACTACAGCACCTGTAATGCGTTACAAAAAACAATTAAGAGGAAATTAAATCTGACTCACACAGCCAATAAATACGCTGTGTGGAGCGGTGCAGTTGCTTTTCTACAATTACTTGTTTATTAATTCACAGAGCTCAGTCGTTCATAATGGTTTCCATAATTATTAATGGGAATCAGCAAGGTTCGAGTGCAGATTAACATGGTAGGATTCAGGTGTCCAGCCTTTCCACACTAATTTGGACATGGAGTTTCTTAGTAACCTAGCTCCTCATTAGCAAGTTAGCAGTTCCTTAAAAACTGTGGTAATTAAACATAAAGACATCCAAAGCCACCTAAAGGGGCTTGTCATTTACATTGGTTTGTTAGGCAAGTACAGCTCTGCCTTGGGGTTAGCATTTAATTCCAGTAGAAAAAAAAGGGAAAAGCTGTTAGTGTTTTAAGATCCCTTCCTGCGTTCCTTTTCCCTTACTCTGGCTCTCTTTTCATAAAAAGCACGTGAATTTTCCTCTAATTAGGCTGTAGGCTGTAGAGTGGCATTAGTCCCTCTTCGACGTATTCCCTACCTGCCGTTCTTGATCTTTTCCCACCTGTGGGAGAAACGTCCCACACTGGAGCACACTGGAGCCTCCTGGATGGGCTTCTAATGATCCCACGCCCTCAGTCTCTGAAAACCTGGCCTAAAGCTCTCCCTTACATACCTGTTGTTTAAATGAACTCTCATTGTCCAGGCTGTCAATCATCTTAAATTCACATTTTTATCTAGTCCTTTTAAGAATAATATTTACAAAGTGAAGCCTGCATTTTGGCCCCTGCATTTCTCTCTGTTGCATAGCGAGATTTATTAAAACTCTCATTGAACAATTTAGAAGGGTGTTTCTGCTTAAACTCTCATAAAATGCCATTGATTAATTAATCACTGTTCRCTCAGTGCAAACAACACTCTGACGTGTGAGCTGTAGTAGGCAAGTCAAAGCGATCACTTTAAAGGCAGTGTTATTTATATTGATTAAAACTATTTTGAGCACTTGGCTTGCATCACTGATGAGAAAAGATCTAATGCGAGGGTAAATGAGAGCGTCTGGAGACAACAGCTACTGATGCTCCCAGGGCCATCAGCCACTATACCGTTTCTGGGCAGGATTTTCCAAGGCGTCTTGGTGAGCAGGAGTTTGAGGAAAAGTGAGCAGGAGTGAGAGGAAAAGCCCTTCAGGCTTTTCTCTTTGGGAGCCCTGCAACCTCCTGCAAGCAAGATGTAGGGAGCAACACAAAGCTGGTCTTGGGGAAAGGGTGGGGATCCTGGGGCTGAGGCTGGAATTCAGCAACACGCGGGACGTGCTGCTAGCAGGAGGGCGGTGCAGCAGGTGCCCAGATACATTCCCACGGGTACCACCGCGTACAGGTGGAGCCACCCAGCAATTACTTGATGTCTTCTCGGCACCAAAACTGCCCCTCAGACTTTCTGAGAATCCTTCCCATCGTTTTCTTCTCCTTTTTTTTATCTAAGGAAGTGAGCAGGTGCGAGAAGAGCCCAGGCAGGGGTGGTTGAGCAGCACAGAATTCCCCAGGGTGGCTGCAAAAGTGACTGGCACGAGCGGAGCACTTTAGAAACTGCTGGGCCAGCTCTTTCCCACATTCTGTCGGCAAATGCTCTTTCCATGAGCGCCGAAAGGGGTGCGTTCGAAGCGCARCTCCCTCCTATCCAAGGCATGATACCAGCCAGCGTTCGTTTGGTTGCCGAGTATCCCGAGCCCCCTCTAATTACCGACCTTGAGCGCCGGGTGCCACCACGGGAGATTCCAGTGCTCTCCGGCACCTCCTATAACTTGGCAACTGCCTCGGTCAGCGGGACTGCCGCCACACACGAGCGGGTGTCGCTTGCCAAGCCGCACGGAGCGTGTTCTCCTTTTGTGGAGGGCTGTGAAGCACTAGCAGTCACCAGCAAACCCACAAGCTTTCA